GTTATTTTCCTGTAAACTGATTGGTCACCTGTGTCTAGCAGAAGTTGCACTGTTAAAATGCCATTTCAAATTTTTTTTACACTTCAGTACTTTGCGTTCAAAACTTTCACAATTTTTTAAGTGCGGCCTTAAATGCTAAGTACTGAGCGAGTGACCTGCTTGCTACATAGACAGGTATATAAAATAAGTAAACCTAACAACTGGGCTGAAAACCAGTATTAATTTTTACTTTCAATAATGAGTTCGGTGTTCCGTGTTTTGGACTGTGTGACACACTTTTGTAGCAAAGAAATAAATACTCACAACTTGGTCGTCAGTTCCTTTGAGCACAAGTTTTCCATCGCAATGACGATACTTTATAACAAAACGAAACTGAAATAAAGAAAAGATCACTTAACAACACGTCATCTTGAAGTATCTTCATAAAAAAATTAAACACGTGCAGTGAAATATAAATAAACGCTGGCTTCGAAAAGCTTGCCAGAATTAAAATATTCTTACCTTATTAGGTTCAGCGATGCATAGCTGTTCAACAGCCGCTGCAAATTCATCCCAGGAGTCAAAGTAAACCATAGCTTCTTGTTTCTTTGTTCGCTAAATCAAGTCTCACGTACAAACCGCCATCTTTGAAGCTTTCTGTTAAAACTTCTTCATATAGGTACCACTAGAATGTCTCCAAACTAGCAACGATTTCATAAGTACAGCGGTAGTGAAGTTTGTGCATATATGCCAAATGTACTGTCCCCAGAAAAGGCGATCTTTGATTTTACTTTTCTTCAAATTCTTTGAAAAAAGTACATTTTTATGTTTGATTCAATGACATCTTTTCACTTTTTATCTCTGCGTGAACGTTTCTTTGTTGACTTCGAAGTTTTAGTTTTCAACGCAAGGCCTTCTGGGTAGTGTGTTTTGCTGATCATGTGCCACGCATATGATATAAATTTCTCCACGAAAACAAACGAAAAATGTCGATAAAAGAGCTAAAAATAGGATAAAATTAAAATGGCGAGCTGTATGAAAGGATGCTGGGGCATTTTTAGTGAAGAATTTCGAAAGTTACGTCGGCCAGCTCATATTAGAGGAAGGTAAGCTTAGAAAAATAGTTTGTTGCAAGAGTGTAAGCTTGTTAAGCTTATTAAAATATATTGAAACTTCGATTCGTCCAGTGTTTTTTGAAAAACGTATCATTCCTTAATACCAGACGTTTTTATTAATTGTCACAGAACTTACAGACGTGCAAGATATAGCGAAAAGGAACTTAGTATCGAGGTACTTAAAAATTTTCCTTTTTTAATATTTCAAGCAAGCTTATGTCACCAGTTTTTGGAGCCCACCAAGTTTTGACATCCTAAGACCTTTGCGAACTTTAACAGTGAAAAGACATGCAAACTATTTACGTGTTAGGGTAATTTGCTCCTACTAGGGTTAGAGAGAATTTTCAGATCAGGATCAGCAAATCGGCTGTTTTATGGTGGTAGCCTGAGACAATAGCTGACATTTTGTGACGGCACCAATGGTTTCCCTGTGAAATGACATCTGAGGAAAGACTGTGGAAATTAATTGAAACTAATGACATTACATGGACTGGGTAGTGCTTCTGATTGGTTGAAGCAACACAACCAATCAGAAGCACTAACTAGATCTGGGTCGTGATAGGTGTACAGTATGAATTTCTGCAGTCATTCCTTATATGTCATTTTGAGTGGAAATCAGCGGGGTGATGAAAAAGTGGATTATTTTCTCAGGCTAATGTGGCCAGCTAGAGTGTAGACTTCCTGGCCACCATGATTACAAATTATTCCATGCAGCCAAACCTGAATCTAAATCGCAATCTGTAAGATGAATTTACATGAAACCTTTGATTGACAAAGAAGTCAACAGATTGCTGAAAATTATTTTGGTTACTCTAAATATAGTACTTGTTACAATGCTTTAAGAATTTGTGTTTGTGCAATCAGCTTCTTTTATTATTATTATGCTGAGATTGTATTTTGCTTCCTTTTCAGTTTGAAAACTTGATAGATGAGGTAATATTTCTTTATTAGCATGTTAATTTGAGTATTTTTTTGTTTTAGCTTAATCCTAGAGGGAAAAATCAAGTATTCAACCAAAGGATTTTCATTGGGAGGGTATTTGAAAATCATGGGAATATTGCTGGAAACAAAAAATCACAAACAAAGGAATCGTCGCTTAAGCTCTATTTATTCACAACCCTTTGGAATGTTTGGAGTTTTAAGCAGACAAGACTTTCTTGCTCGGTTTGTAATTTCCTTGTCAAGTGATTCGGGTGTTTTATAATTTTTCATTTCCTCGGGGTGTACTATTTGTGCTATGATCGTGTTTGTTAGCTGTTTTTCAGCGCGTCAGAATGTGTGCACTATATTATACAGCTATATGTATCGCTATATGTAGCGCTATATTAATATCTTTATCTTTATATGAATTCAAGGCTGTGCTCTAAAAAAAATTGAAGGGAGCCCAGTGCTCTGAACTTGCGAAATACAGTGTGCCCAGCATATGATTTCTACAAAAAAGCTAAGATTTTCTTGTAACGCGAGAACAAAAGTTAGGCAGCCCAGGCCACCAGGCTCTGCTAGAGCATAGCCTTGGAATTAATAATTGAAAACTTATCACTTTTAATTTATTTTGTAGGAGGACTTCAATCCTCGCCCCAGGTAAGTTTGTTGGTCCATCCATCCATCCCTCTCACCCTCCCTTCTTTCCTTCCTCCCTCCTTCCCTCTGTCTGTTCGTCCCTCTGTCCGTCTGTCCATCCCTCTGTTTGTCTATTCATTCATGACTATTTTGACTCCAAAGAAACGCCAGGCAGTGTGCAAAGAAAGTAATGTCCGATAGCCCGAGGCTAGTGGATTTTGTCATCGGGCAGGTGAATTCTCTTTTTTAACTTGCCCGACGGGCAAGTGATGTTTTTTGAGGAATTTGAATAACAGAAGAACTATGAAATCAATTCTGCTTGTCAAAAAGCTTTTGGGGCTAGTTAAAATGACATCTGGGTTATTAAATGCTAGCTTCAGCTTGCCCGAATGGCAAGCCATAAAAATGATTTTGTTTGCACCCTGCCAGGGCACTCTTAGCTTGCTTACCATTTTCCAGATTTGGCTGGCCAGACCAGTCCAGTCCTAGGAGAACTCCACTATTAACTAGTAGGACTAACCAGCCAGATCAGTTTATTCTTAATTAGTATGCACAGCAGTAATGGAACTTAGTTAAAATATGGAGAAAGTACTACAGTTGAACCTCTCCACAATGGCTTCCGTGGGGACAGAAGAAAGTGGCCGTTATAAGAAATACCATTGTAGAGATAGGTTTAAACAAGAGTCAATGTATGGACTGTCCACCTAGACAAAAATTAAACAATGGCTTTTGTAGAGAGGTGGCCATTGTGGCGAGATGGCCATTAGTTGAGGTTTGATTGTAATAAATATTCCCTTTTCAAAATAATCAGTCTGGCCACCGGCCATCTCTGATGTTTGGAAAGCGTTCTTCAGTATGTTCTTGAAAAGGTAATTCACAGTGTAGGTCTTCATTGCTCATTTTTAATTTTTTTTTATTCCAGACGAATTTTAACTGAAACTGAAACAGAGCTTATCAGTCAAAAGAGATTTAATGACCTGGTTCAACAGCAGAAGAAGTTAGATGCTGAAATCGACGCACAGTTATCCCGGCAAGAGGATGATTTACGACTTGAGGAGGAGGTATGATCTAAAAAGACATTTGTTAGTTATTTTCAACTGGCAAAATAAAATTGTTATTGCAGCAAATAAACAACAACAAACCTGCCTTTTAACTGACAGCACAAAACCATTTTGGGGCCGGGTTGTTCAAAGCTGGGTTAAGATAACCCAGGGTTAGTGCAAGATTTGAATTCAAATATGAGAGCCAAAAAAGGTATTTCAATTTTCATTCTTTTTGTCTTCAAGTTGATTATTGGAAACTCTAAAAATAAGAGAGAAAATTATCTGGGAAAATGGCTTTGAACACAAGAAAAAGAAAACCAGGTCAATTTAACCCCAGGTTAAGCGCTAATCGGCCTTTGAACAACTGGTCCCAGTTAATTAGACTCGGATTACATGTTCTTCTGTGATTGGTTGGTTTCTGACAGCTGTTATTGGCCCCTTTTTATCTTGCTGTTTTGTTCTTCACCTGATGACGACCGGCAGTAAGCAGTTGAAACATATTGATCTAATTCACAAGTGACTTCACCATGTCACTCATGAGACAAATGATAATACAGTCAGCTCTTTCTAAGATGTATGCCTTTTTTAATTTTTTTTTTACTTGTCATCTGATTGCGCTTGTTTTGACCATCTATCACGTGAAACAGCATTCGAGCGGAGCAAGAGCATTTTGACCGTCGATCATTGTTAGCTGCAGTCTCTTACCTTTGGTTATTACTAGTATACTATTATGCTTTTAGCAGTAACATTAAACTTACAGGTTGTCCATTTCCTTTGTTAAATAAATACAACTAGTTGAACCTCCACTAATGGCCACCTCTCTACATCAGCCATTTTTTTTTGTCCCAAAGGGCAGTCCATACATTGACTCCAAATAAAAACCTTAATTTGTTTTCTAAAATGTCCACTTCTCTATAACAGCAATGGCCATTAAAGTTCATCCTCATTGAAAAAGTCAAGAATGGCCACAAAACTTGAACTGATTTAAAACATTAAATTTTATTGTGTAATTTCATGTAGTATATGAATTACCATCGGAGGCTACTATAAGCATGGACTTGGCACTCTAAACATGCTGTTGCCCCCCCCCCACCCCTCCCCAAAAAAGAAGGTGTCATATTACACCCCTACCTCCCCATAATGCCAGGCCATCTCTCCATAAAGGTAGGTTGTCCTAAAGGTAGCAGTTGTGGAGAGGTTCAACTGAATTAAATTTGTTTGTGCTATTTTGTTGAAGGCCTACTATGAAGCAAAGAGAGAGGCTGCACGAGTGGCGAAGCAAGCCAGGCAGATGGAGGTACATACCCTCATTTAAAAATGCAGTGTTTGCATGTACTGTCCCCAGAGAAAGTGATCTTTGATTTTAGTTTTCTTCAAATTTTTTTAGAAAAAGTAGCATTAATTTTAAATATTTTTTTTTCAAATTACTATAGGAAATGAAAGCTGCCAAAGAAAAGGAGAACAGAACTCGTAGGGGCTTCCTGGATGATTCATCCTTGTCTTGTTTGTTATCAGATGATACTGTTAGTGTAGACAGGTAAGTAAAATTTTCTTATTTGCCATCAGTATTAACCCACTGATCATGTAATATTGCATTTTTACACCAATGAAATACCAGGTGAGCTTGTGCATGAAAACATGATATCTTTACACATAAAAATAACATTTATCTTCACATTTGAAAAGATCACTGTCGCAAGGACTGCATAATAAAAATTAATGACATGTTTTACAGAAAAATATTACAAATGTGAGATGGTTTGGTATGTCATTAATTAGTGTTTATACAATTAATATAACATTACATGGCCACTTGGAGATACCAAATTTGTCTTCTCATGTTAAGAGTATTTCACTTGTTCACAGTACTCACTTGAATGAAATATGTTTCATCACTTGAAAGAAATTTTAGCGGTGTAGAATGGTTCCTCAAAAAACATGGGTCTCAGAAAATTTTGGCCCAACCTCAACATCTCGGAAGCATTTGTGGAGGGTCTCAAAGTCTCGTTTTCAGGTGATTTTGCATCTCAGAGGCTCAATTTTTTCTTAAGTATCAGTCTTGAATTGCAGTCTCACAAAGTCTCGAATTTACCATTTCATACCTCCACTTTTGTACCTCCATGTGGCCATTTAGTATCCTCTATGTATCTCACTGGACTTTAAATTTTCTACTTTGTTTTAGTACTGAGCTGGATGTTGAGGATTTTGATGCATTCCTGGAAAAAGTAAAAGCAAGATCTCTTGGAAATAGTCCCTTTGCATGTAAGTTTAGACTTGCATTAAGGAACCTTTGAAAACTGTATTTTGCATGGTTCATACAACAGCAGACAAACAAATTTTAAGGACTTCTGAGGGACAAAATTACAGTTTTCAAGGACCAAGATTGATTCAATAAATTGGCATTCTTTAACCCCCTTTTGAACACCTTATTGGGTAAAATGCTGTCACTTTTTGAAACAACACTTTACAAAATGACAACAGTCATTAAGCATGACTTGCAGCTACATCTGAGGTACAGAAGAAGCATTTGAAATGTTAAAAGAAACAGAAATAAGATACTGTTCATGCATGAAAATGTTTTTGCAAATACCTGTGAGTTTTACAAGTTCTTTCACCAAGGATGAGCCAAATTTTCCTGTCAGTGAAATAATCTAATTTTATAGAAAGTGGTGTGGTGTAAACAAGCTTGTAATGAATTTCAAAGACTTTTCAAGACCTAATAAAGAAATCAAGTCCTTTTAAAAGACCTTAACTGAATTCAAGGACTTTTCAAGAGGACTACTAAACTTTGCGACCTTTTCAAGATCGTGCAAACCAAGTTGTTTTGGCTTCAGAATGAAAATCCAGTATTAATTGCAATGTAAACTTTTAATAGTGACCAACTGGGTTCTATGCCATCTTCACTTAGTAGGTATAATAGTTCTCCCTTGATTTGTTTTGGCAAGATAAGTGACCAGAAAATAGCTAGAATTGCTCCAAGTTTGTTTCTTTGTCAAATTTCTAGGGCCATTAGTACGGATCTCATGATCAGACAGTTACATAACCTTAAGCTATTGGACTTGTCTCTTCTTCCTTTCTCATCCAGAACCGAAACTGCAGTTAAAAAAGACCTTAATTAGGATCAGTATAAGAGTTAGACAAAATTCTCACTCACCCCTCCTCCAACTCAACATTAATACTAACTTCTTACCTAGGGGAAAATGTTAGATTGAGGGAGGGGTGGGTGGGCAGATCCAAAATTCACCTAATACTCACATATTCATTGCAATAATTGTTTTTTTTTTTTTTATTGACAGCACCCACTGCAACAGTGCCAAACGGAACAGCTCCATGGGAAGATGCATTAGCACAGGGGATGGAAGCTACAAAGATAGCAGGAAAATCACTAGATGCACTACAGGGATTTTCATCCTCTGTTGACCTCGTAGCTGTCAGCGAGAGATAGTATAAAAGCTTATCTATTTAGAAGCAATTTAATATAAGCTAATATAGTGGTGATTCAACTGAGTGGAGTGCAGTTTGGTCCAAAATCATGCGTTATTTGAAGATTGGACGAGGGTGTAGCATGAGTTAGATTTGAAATCACAAGTATGATTTCAGACCAGAATTGCACGAGACGAAGTTCGAATACCACTTTAGTACAGCCATTTTTAAATCACTAAATTCAGTCAGTACAAAAAATCGAAATTGGGATTGGAAACTCTTTTCCATCTCATTTTTATGTGGAACAAAAAATAGTGTAATTCATGAATAAATCACACTGATGGAAGCGAATCAGATTGTGAGGATCACTTGTGATTTCAATACTAAATTTCGTGATTTTGGTGAGAAACATCGTGGAGTTTTATTTTTGTGATTTAAATAGGAAAATATGAAAGAGGGGCAATAAATTTTGCAATGGTTTTTGTTTGCGGGTCTTTAATTTCACTATGTTTACAATTAAGAACAACACGAAATTAAAGACCTGCAAAATTTTAAAATTTTCAAAGTACCAAATTAACAATAAGGTAAATAATAATGCCATAGTTCTAGACCTCTTTCATATTTTAATTTCGTTGTCTAAATACTGGGGCAAGGTGATCCTTTGAGCAGTACAAATGCTTTATATAATTTCCCGAAGAACAAAAGACAGTTTTCGCTTTGCAGAACGTGATGCTAATAATTCTGAAGAAGAATGTTACTGACCTTGTGAGGTCAGTAGGATGGTTTTTTGTTGTTTTTATTTATACATTCAATAAAAAAGTTAAATAAGGCTAAAAGAGATTTAGGAACGCACTTCAAAGTTATTTATAATGCATTTCATTGCATAAAAATGTTGTAAACCTTTTTATAAGAAGAAGTTGTTAGAATCTTGACTTTGTTAAGTAAATATTTTTTATCACAGTAAAGGAAAATAGAGAATAGTTTATTGTAAGATTGACAGTAAAGTGATCTCTTCACCAAGAAATAAATATCATTGTATACTCAGAAAGTCGGAAAAATAACTTTAATTTTCAGTTTCACGAACACAGTGGGACCCAAACAAGGGCTTTGCTGGGAATTTTCCGGAGGTATGCGCAGTCCCCAGGACGCCTCCCAATTTGGTTGCATGCAAGTGACATAATGAATTTTTTTTTTTGCTTTTAGCCCTCAGGCGAGCAGCACACTAATCTTTGGGTGTCCTGTGGCTCCTTGTGTGTCCTGCCCGGGGGGTTTACTCTCAATAAGTTTTGCTGGGTACCTGCCACTGGCCTCTCAGAGCCCCTACCCCATTATAGTCTATTCTGTGGCCAATTATAGACCCCATCTTAGTCACTTTTGGGCAAATATGTAATCTTCGCGATCCCAACTTAGTAGCTTTCTATTTATGTACCTACCTTATCAATCCTTTAAATGGGTCATCGTCCTAAAATGAACTGACCCATTTTTTAAATTGAATGAAGAACACCTTACTTTTCACCTAGAGTACAAACATTCTGGTACGTTTGCTAACCGTACATATGAAGAACTTTCTTACTCCAAAAATCCGAGAAAGTGTGACCCCATTCTAGTAACTCTATTGAAAATGCGACCCCATTATGAATCCAGTCGTGAAAATGCGACCCCATCCAGCGGCACTTCCCCATTAGCCCCTTATAAGGAAGTGCCCCCCAGGGGTGTCCTGCCACTATTTAGGCGTTCTAATCTATATTTATGTTGTCAGGATGATTTTAAGCAAGTATGTCCAGTGGGTGTCATCATAACTTAATTTCGAACACTCTTATTGCCTCGTTCTAATAGCGTTACGTTTCGCGTATTGTGGCGCGCGAAGATGGTTTCAAATTATTTTCGTATGACTGTAAACTTGCAAATATAGACCCACGTATACAATCACCTGAGTTCTTGGTGATTTAGGAGTCTCTTGCTGTCCTTTACCCACAACTATTAATGATCATCAGTTGACCAAAGGGGTAGCAAAATGCGTATGTCGGCCCTTAGGAGGCTCCGTATCTGTTGATTCATAATTTTTCAGATAACGTTTTACTGCTAGTCGTCATTACTTAATTTCAAATTGTAACACTTATTACGCGTTCTATAAATAGTCCATTTCCCAGTTGCCTCAAGCCTCTGTTTCAAAGCGAGGCTAAGTGTGAAGCTATTGGTATGAAAGTCTCACGCAAATAAACCTCATTTTCATAAGAAGGGTTTTGCTCTTAGCCTCGTTTTGAAAGTGAGAGATTTTGGAACTTGTAGGACTACAGTTAGACCCCCCTTCAACGGCCACCTTGGAGACAGAAGAAAGTTGCCGTTGTAGAGAGGCTTTGTACAAGGGTCAATGTATCGATTTTTTTGTCCGCTGGGACGAAAAAAAGGTGCCCGTAAGCAGAGGTTCGACTGTACTTTACGTAAACGGTCTGTACTTAGCAAATTGTGGATTTCAGTTCATCGTTTCTCAGTTGCTGTTTTACTGCCAGAATCTGCACAAAGCACTAGTTACAATTTGTAACCTCTATCTAGGCGTTTGTACATTATGCTTGCTTTTTTTGGAGTATTTTAGTGGAGCAAAAGCATTAAGCATTATTCGAGCATTTTAGTGGAACTTTTCCCGGACTTTTTCAGAGAAAATAAAAATAAGGGTTAATTGTTCCCGGAATTTTTTTTTCAGAAAAAAAGGGAAAGACAAACTAGAAAAAACTTAAAATTCAAAGTGCGAGGACTGGGGAAAAGCTAATGTTTGCTGTTTAAAATGTTATAAACGTGTTGTTATACTATGTATATCAATTGAGTAGGGATATAGCACTCTGTTAGAACGTTCCGATTAATAAAAAAGCCTCTGCATGACAAGCATTGTCAGAGCATTTTAGTGGCTTTTTCGGGGCTGACCGAGCGTTTCGGTGGAAAAATGGAGCAGTAAGGTGGAGCTTTTTAGTGGGGAAACAAAAGCATAATGAACAAAAGCCTACCTCTATCTAATCAGTATGATGCCTGCCTAATATCCAGGTGCTTCTCAGGCGGCGAAGGATCATGGGAAAGCTTCAAAAATGCAAAGGCACATGGGAAGGGTTTCCATGACCCCCTGCACCGCTACTGCCGCAGAAAATCCCAAGAAGCGCCTGGGTACGAGACAGGTATGATGAGGTAATGGCCTCACGGCCCATGCTGTCTTGCAGGTAACACGATGGACCTTTGCCTATTTGCATAGGGAAACATCGGTGAAAATGCTGAAGTTTAGAAGCCCAGTCCACACGAATTTGGACAGTTTTGAAAGCATACATTTTATAATCCGGATTTGTGTTGACAAGGCCTTAAACCACTATGAAGAGTGGTTTAAAAAGATGCGGTTTCTGTAAGCGGATTCACTGGTTTTGTGTGGACGGAAGACCAATTCATGTAATTTATATCTGTGTGATTTTGCTAAAAGGTGACAGACTAAGTTCTCGCTTAAATACGGGCATCGTTCAAGCCAGTGTAGCCGGAAAAAAAAACAGGGGGCTTACTGTCTTGCCAGGTGTCAGCAGAGAGCACAGGCCCAGACCTAACTGTGGGTGAGTGGCTGACTTGCTTTGTGTCAAAACTAGGGGGGGAGGGAGGGGAGAGTTTTGTCACTTTGATTAGAGTTTCAAGTCAGAAAGCAGTGCAAAGTCAAGGAATTTTTCCAGTGGGCTAGCCCAGCTAAATCAATGCTGCCACTCATAATGACAACACTACTAGCAGAGCTTGGGGGGAGTGATTGACTAGTCGTAAGTGTCATGGGTGGGGAGGGTGAGTACTTGCTCCTTGGACTTGGCTGTCTAGAGACGGAGTACAGGCCCCTTGTATGAAATCCACACATGTATTGCATATAAAATAAGATCTTCATTCAATTATTAAAAGACAGCTGTTTATTATCAAGCAAGTCAATAGTTTGTTTAGAAAACAACATAAAATTCTCAGTACAGTTCATTGCTCGACTGTAAACTTCAAAAATATTATATTACCACACAGATCTCCCAATTCACAATTCTATATATTTCAATTTATTCTTTATCAAAACAAGAGTGCCCGTTTCCAAGCAACTTATAACCCTAAACATTTGTCATTAAATTCCTGTCCTGGGATAGTCTGTCAAACTATCTCATTCTTGAAAACCTTCCATAAAAATCCAAAAGAATGTTTCCTTCACTGTCATACAGAAGTCACGGACATAATCATTGCCTTTGAGCTGAAAAGAAAAACAAGGAAAGTAAACTTAACCAGCTGAATTAATTCTCACAACATACTTCCTTCCTTCTACTTGTCAAAGACTACTCTCCAAGTGAACTCTCAATCTCGCCTCTTGATACTCATGCCCAATTTTTTTCGAGCCTTTATTTGCAACCTCATAATTTGTGTCTTTAACAGTGGTGTTCTTTGTTCATTAGATCCAATATATGAAATTTATATATTCATATCTCGCAAAGTTCCGCTCAGTTATAGCCCCATCTACTGGTTCTAAGCCCGAACCCCCCTATCCCTAACCCTAACCCTAACCCTAACCCCCCCCCCCCCCCCCCCCC